TATCTATAGGTATGACCTGACGATAAATAATTTATATATTTATTGGTCACGATTAAACAAATTAATCAGCTGTTATTCCAATATTTATGAAGTTAATATGTGTCGCTAGGCAAAATTAGATTTTTTTACCGATAGCGAAATTAGCAAATTAATCAAATAATTTGTCCATAATCCCACCATACCTCTTGAAGCCGATTTTTGGCGCTGTTTATTAATGCTTCTAAGATTTTAATTTGACCACGCAGATTTTGCTCGCTAGAAATTAAAGATTCATAGCTTGTCTTAAGAAAGTAGTCTAATATTTCTGTATTGGGAAATAAATGCATATCTGCAACTAGAGTTACATGCCTTAAAGCTCAAACATTACCTTAAAATTTCCTCTACTAGCGGTATCTGAAACCTTTACGGAAGATGTTGGAAATTTACTTAGCTTAAACCAACTCAGATAAAATTTTTTAACCTATGAATTTCGTAAGAAACGTAAACGTATCACAATATAAAAAATACAGCAATTGGTACATGAAAGCTAGGTTTTATAAGCATGTGATATATTAAGTCATAAATTCTTTTACTTACTCCCTTGTAATTATAGCAGTGAAAGTAAAATAAGGAAACACCCTACATCAAATAAGTAAATAAATCAAACTTATTTATCAAACGAATGTTTGAAATAAGAAATAAACAAGCAAAAACTACTAATGACTTTATAATGCGGTAATACTGCTTTTTAAGGTATTTACAAGCTTACCTGTAAGGAATTTAAGATTACAAACAGATAAGAAAATACAAGTGTGGTGTTATTCAATGATAGAAAGCCCAAGGTCCAAGTAATTCCTAGTAAGGGTACCAAAGCGACAGAGGCACGAAATGATACTCTATGTTTAGCAAAAGTATAAAGTTTTAAAACTATCAGACACTAATCAATTCTAATTTTATATATAAATACGGCTAATTTTCTGTCTAATAAAAATATTTTGCTAATATTATTTAGTAGCAATAGAATGAATCTAAATATAGTTATAAATTTAATTTTCCATTAATTCATTTACCTAACTTTCTGTAAGTTAGACATGTTAGCAACAGCACGAATTCCAATTAACGATTTAGTAATTAGGGCCATTAGGATTAGGTTCATCTAGTCAGAACGATTTTTCAAGGTGATAAAATTACGCGCGTGTTTTAGTCTTGATGAGAACAATAATTCATAAATTATCCTAACGTACTCTCAACTTACACCTATAATGACCAGAACAGGAATTCCAAAAATCAAGAATAGATGATTGCCAGGTTCAATCCAGCAACTAATTTTTTGCATGACCATAGTAAATTAATAATAAAATAAATATGTATATTACGGTCAATATCACTCCGACTTTAATCAAAAATAATCTATATATTGTCATTGAAATCATATCATTTATCGTTCTAAAACTCTGATTGAAGCGTACTATTTCGATGACCCATAATACTCGCTTTTAGTAAGAAAAGTGCTCAGAACAATAACACATGGTATACCTAACAAAACATAAATTGATGATAAATATGATCATGTATATTTAATGAATATATCGAATAAATCTAGTATTTTTGCTACAGACCCCATCCAATCATTATGTAGGCAACTACGGAAGATTGTTTTTCTAGCCAGTTGACGGACATTTTAAATGTTACTATGCCTTCAATTAACATCCAAGTGAAAGATGCCAGAAGCGAAAATTGAAGGATAATTGCTATAAACTGGCATAATATCTGCAACAAATACGAAAGCATTATATTGATTTACTGTTAGTTTTACTAAAATCATTATTGCGTTGCTAATTCAATGGAATTTTCGAATTAAGGACAGACCACATAGCGAAACCTACTTTTTTATTAAAAATAGTTTATTAAATTGTTACTTATTAGCAATATTGCTTTTTATAGCTTTTATATGTCTGATTTTATTTTAGATGGCTAGGCAGTTTACTCAATTGCATTTTATCGCGAATCATGATTTAATAGTATGGTAATGGAAAAGTTAGAAATCATTAAAACTCAATTCTGGTGTTTGATTAAGCGAAATTACTCGATCATGGATGAAACCATACACGTTGTTTTCTATATAATAAAATAATAAACCGAAGCTCTAAGACTATAAATGAATCTAAAATTGTTTTTTACTATTCATTAAAGTTATACAAAGTAAAAATACGATTAGATAAAGTATTTTTTTAATCAGATGATCCTATTTATAAACTATTACCCGATGCTCTGTCCACTGAATACCAATAATAAATATAATGGTGGAAATAATCATTGATGCTGACAAGTTGGCATGTACAAGACCACGTATGCTGTGAAATCGCCTTTCAAATATATTATATTAAGCATAACATCAGACTAAACATACTTAGTTCATGGTATACGAACTAGATTTAAATATTAGTTTTAAAATCAGGGTAATTTTAGCTTACCCAAAAGCAGTGAAGGTGATAAATGTAACCATAAGACAGATCAAAGACATTGATAAACCAGTGTAGGTCATCATACTTAAAATTTTCTGATGGAATATTGGGATCTCAAATGCATGATAATATGATTATTTAATCACCTATGCATACTTAAGTTATATTTAGCTCTCTATCTACTCCTACTCATACCTTGGACTTACCGTAAAGTTATTAAATTGTAACAGAACAGAGAAACTGGTTAAATGATAAGATAGACACTGCACGATTGTCTCATTAGGTATTTTCATTTCTAATCCATCGGTTGCCCAAAAACTAGAAATGATTTATAAACAAAGATCTTTAATGATCTTTACAGCGAAATATGTCGATATGGTACGTTTATTAATCTATGAATCCTAAAATTTATGTATTCTTCCAATTTTCTCATAATATCTATTCACGCTTAGTATTACCTCTTTTTCCAGTAGGCACATGTTGGTTTTGCATTATCATTCTAAAATGATAATCACATTAATACAATAGGAAATAAATTCTTGAAGAAGTTATTCTATAAAGGCTAAAGTGTTTAATTTAAATTATTTAATATTGATAATTATGCTATAACTGTATTAGTTTTTCGACTGATATGATCGTTATTTCATGTTTACTGTTTTAAGTACAAGCTCGAATAGTGTGCTACGCTAAGATGAATAAATAAATTAGGAAGCTATTCCCTTAGACATTAACTGATTATGTGAGACTGTTGTGTTCAATGTATATTTGATCACCTTTTGCAAAGTATTACCGCTAATTATTTTAAGAAGATCGGATAAAAAGCTCCGATAGTATAAATATGGTAAAACCACCTTCTTTAAATTTTCCGTAAAAATTTATAAACAGAAATATTTTATATTGTTTTAAAATTTATTTCCTTAATCTACTAAATTATCCGCTAAATTTTAATTTAAGCAAATTCACAAAAAGACCTGCCAATAAAAGTTACTATACCACCATAATAGAACGGCAGTACATTTCTACAATTTCATTACCTGATTAATTTTAAAATTGAAAACAACGGGATTCTTAAGCTTTCCTTTCATGAGAGGTCGGATACTGCATGAAATAGTATACTTTAATGGCTGCTGTTGTAAGCTAAAAACGTAATAAAACTTGTTTGAGTTACAAAAGAAAATGCATTATCAAAAGCTAAATGTAAATGTTCATATTAACACTATCTCAATCCTGTTTATATTTTAACTAGTACTAGTACACGTATAAGTTATCATAATACTAAAATAACTATTGGAAAATGAATCGTAAAAGCTAGTATTACTATAGATTTATTATTATTTTAAGGAGGAAATGTAAATTTAATTTTTGAATTCTGCTTCAAGAAACTGTGCTTGAATCTATCACTAAATATGCAATTGCCGTAGAAATTGTATAGGTATGTAAAAACCGTGATCAAAATGCCAAGTTTATCATCATTCTCTGAAAGCAATTTTAAATTGGAAGTAGAGCATAAGTAATCTCCATGGACTACACATAGCATTTAAATAGTCACAGTAAATTACCTATTTGCCTTCTGATTCGATCTAGTCTCATATATTCCCACCGCCATGCGGAATTTTCCTGAATAAAGATAATTTGTATCAGTAGCAAAATCGTTTAGTGCTAGTTACTACTAGTTGTTATGAAGGGAAAAGTGTACATTTATTCAAGTTTATATTAACCATTTAATTCCTTGGATATTGCTGATGTAGGAACATTAACACTCAAAGGGTAATCAAAGTCATCCATAAAAGGCGCATCTTGCAGTTTACTTCTCATATCAACGTAAATATCGTCATCAGAAAGCCTTTCTATATTAGCATTCATAAGGGCGTAGTTTATACCTATGTGAACAGTTTAATTGAACAGAACATTTTATTAAGTCTCCTCTTGGACTGGCGAATGTTGGGCAAATTCCTGAAAATTTTACCTAATCTTTTATTGTAATAGGAGACTAGGATAGAACTCTGATTTGGCTTTAACGCTTGTGCTAGATAGAGTCCAGTATTATCAACCACATCATCATAGTCATCGTAGCCATAGTCACTATAATCATAATTATCTATCATAGCATCAAACTTTGCATTTAGGGAGTAGGAATCAGCATAATAATCGTTTATAGTATTGGAATAAGAAGAGAAAAATTTAGAAGTTGATGCGGCTAATGAACTTGTTGCAGCTAGCTGTGCTGGCGAGCCTAAACAGTTAATAGCATTGGGAATAAAGAAAATCATAATATCAAATACCATACTTATGAGTTAATCATCATTAAGCATTTTCGTGAATAACCTCCTTATGCCACTAAATCCAGAATTTTACACAGAGTGTATTAAACGTACAAAATAAATTCATTTAGGTTCATGGCAGTGAAGAGTTGATTCCCACTGGTATTAAATAATTATCTCTTTGCATATAGGATTAGCTCGGTATCTACATACTTGTATACCATACTTGTCAATTAGGTATCATTAAGTACTCATATACAGAACCTCCATATGTGGTAATATCCAGAATGTATAAAATGTATGAAATAAATTTATTTTACTTCATAAAAATAAAGAGTTAACTACCTATGATCTTTCTGCATATCGGATAAGCTCGATGGCTCAAGCAGTCCACTCTAGCCCAAATCCATGTCTTATTCACAGAGCTAAACTTCAATGCAACACATCGATAATAGTAATTACCAGGGTTATTGTCCAATTTTTCATAGTTTTCCAGTACAGAAACATCTTGCAGCCATCGAAATATGTTATTCGATTTATATAAACCAATCCAAAATGATTGATCAGATAATCCGAGCGAATTACGGCTAGCTTTATCTGATAAAAAATCTAGGATAAAATTTTCCGTAGACGCAGAGGCTAGCGTAATCAGATCTGATCGATGATAGCCACATAATCCACGTGCTTCATAGAAACTCATGGACAGATAGGTTACTTTAACACAACTAGAGCCATTGAGAGTCCAGTATTTTGGGCAATAGAGATGAACAGTACCTACATAAAAGTAAATAGTCAGCCTTAGAATGATCAAAAATAGAAAAAGTAAAAACTGACGCTTCTAGCCAACAGAGTATGTAAGCAAGATAGCGTTCCGACTAGATTTGCAGGTAATGCCGGTTTGATGGGATAGCTTACTTGATCAATACAAATTTTTCAGTACTCTACCGTATATTTTATCGAAACTTACGGAAAATATCACTATACATGATTAATTCATTGGTTGTTCCAGTGGCAGCTAAATCCGGTTACGTATAAAATATATGGAAAGAATTTTTAAACTCTAACACGCTTTTGATCTTAATGGCATCTCAATAATACTTGAAGAATTTTGTTCAAATAAATCGAATAGACAATCTAAAATTTTATCCGGCTAACGTTATGGTTAAACTATTCACATAAAGCACTTCACTATAGATAGAATTGATGCTAGATACAATTGATAAGTGAAATATGGCTGTAATAAATTAATATATCCATAAAAGACTTTTTTGGCTTCTGTATCGCACAGGATGGATAACCGTTGAAATTAAAATCCACGAAAACTGATTTTTTTTAGGTATTATATCGTACAAAATGTATAACCGTTAAAATTTAGCATTTTAGACCGAAATCGACCAATGCCATAAAATATTGGAACTGTTTGCTTTCTACAGGCTACTCATAGGATCTACAAAGGCTTATTATTGATATATTTACGCTTTACTTTAAAATTTGGAATGATAATTTTTTGCTTTACCTTTTTCGCATAGAGTGGCAGATGTGGAATTACACTGCCGGCGGTACCAGTAAGCTGAATCTGCACCGGTTCTCTTTAAAACGGCACAGTTTTGTTCTTGTAATAAATTAGGTTGGCTAAGATCCCAGTTGCTATAATTATAAGCTGCTTTATTTCCATACCATTTAAAAGTGTTTGACTGAAATTGCAATCCTATCCAAGCTTCATTTCCGTCGTGCAGCAATGAGCTGACAACTAATTCAGTTTCAATCATGCTCATAATAGCCGGATAGGCTAATATACCTTTATGACATTCAGTTTCTCCTTGTGAATAGGTACCAATGGTAGTAGTCAGGCGGTAGCAATGCTTATTGTGGTACATCCAATTGTAAGGACATGTAGCTGTAATATGATTCGAGAAAATATATTTTCAGTGAAACAGTGCATGAAAATAAGACGCTTTATAGTTACAGGTTACTTTAGAGTAAGGAATAAAACTGGTGCTATTTATCTTACGAAAATAATATTTCCCGATGGATTCGGTGATATTATCAGCTGTCAAATTCTGCAGCGCCTAGATTCAAGAAGAATGTAAATTACTTTGACTTAAAATGATTGTTAATACAGAGATACAGTGGCAAAAAACTTAAATCCAGAAAATTAAGTGGTATTCATCTGTACGAATATTTTTTTCATCTTAGTCTAATGAAATTTTGTTTTTGCTGAAGAAAATATCGCAAGGATGTAATTCATTACCTAATGCTATAATAAGCATCGATTTAAATCAAATACCAAGTGGTTTTGACTTGTATGAACATTATCTTCATTCAATTTTATTAAATTTATTTTGAAAGATAACGTCGAAAGCGTGTATCCATTGTCTCATGTTAGAATTAGCATCGAGCATCAGCAATTATCTACTTAACCCATTTTCGAACAATCGCTTAAAATGTGCACTCTTGCAATCACTAAAACTCAGTTCAAACCTTACAGCAATATGTTAAAACAAAATGCACTGTTACTTGCTTTACCTGGGGAATAGGAGCGGGTATTGTCTTTGCCGCTTACGAAAAGAAATAAAAGAAAATGATAATTAATTTACAAGTATGTAAACTAGTAAGTCCTCTATCCATTTAGTTGTTACCATTTAATTAGTCCCTCGTTACCTTTTTGACATAATGGGTAATAATTATAAGCAAAATAACATTCCTCTAGACGCCAGGAAATATTTCCATTAACAATACAACCCACAAGGCACAGTTCTAGTAGACTTGGGATCCTATCAATAAATAGAGTATGCCTATCGATCCATTGCAAACTACTACGATTTGCTTTTAAAGCTATCCATATGGACTTGTTGACTGATAGAGTAAAGTTTTCGATAAGTTTCAGTTCATTTTTGTTTCTTATAATAGCTAAACCGCTACTATATTGCTGGCAATGAGCAAACGCGTCTTGCCAAGAAGAATATGCTGTATCAACGATCATATAGCATTTTCCTTCAAATTGTCTCCAGCCAGTAGGGCATGCCAATTCTAGATAAATTGAATATTTCATGTCATATTTCCTAATATTGCTTTATCATTGATTAGTGCAGTATACTGGAACATATGCGTACGGGATATTTGTAATCAATTTTGGAATTTGACTTACCTTGTTGACAAATGAATGGATACAGAGATGTGCATCTTCTGTTATTCCATTTCAAGGAATCACTTTTCATGGTTACACATAGACCAGTTTGGGGATTATATATGTCGACAGGAACGAATTTTTCCCAGTTAGAAAATGTTGGATAAGGATTATAGGGATCTCGAAATATCCAGGAAAAATCATCTGTTTGCACTGGATATCCTATAGTGCTTATTAATCCTATCCATGTTTCAGTATGGAAAGTTATAAGTGATTTTATTGCTTGCAATTTCTCCATTGATTCAAATTGAACTAATTGCTTTCCAGCAAGGGCACAATAATCCCTGGATAATGACCATGTAAGCAAATGCTTATGAAAGCTGAAGCAGGTATTGCTAAATCTAGAATCGGGTGGTTTGCAAGTATTCTCATCTGAAAAGAAAAAATTGAATATTTTCCAGCCAAGAAGTCGAAATACCTGAGACCTTTAAATCAATGTTAATAAAATGAAAAATCCAGCTATTAAAGTGATATATTTCACAAACCTGGAGGTAATGGATAGCCCCACATAATATAGGATGCAAACGTAGAATTGGACAAATCGTTGGGAGTGCTTAAATCTATGTATAAGATGTATTGCGGATATTTTTTAGCAAATACGATAAGGAATAATGTAGCTAATTAATCGTTTTAGCTGAAAAAATATGTCTGGCATATACTTATGTGCTCATGGCAAACAAACGTAAAAAATATAAAATAAAAACTTGAGGAGAGTCCCACATATTACTGGTAGCTACGGAAATAACGATTAAGACTGATTCTGCTAGTATGGTCACGAACGAGTGTATAATTGGAAAATTGAAGAAAATCAAATAGCATTAGCGGAAGAAATGATACTTACGTTCTACTCAGATAATGACCGTTAATTTATCTGATTACAGCTTTCTTTACTGCAATACTTGAAATTTGTGTATAATAGAAAATATAATTACGAAGTAAAACAATATCATGAATAACAAGACAAAATTACCTAGCTGACAAATGAAAAAGTGCTGATCGGAGCAATTTAAATTAAGCCAATTTAATGTAGATGGTGTTGGTATGCTTCCAGCGCATAATTTTGTTGTATCAACTACGAAGTTAGGCACCCAAGGAATCCAGTTACCGATAGCATGATTGCTACTAATCCATGATGCATGAAGAAATGTTCCAGATGTGTCATTCAGACCAATCCAGTAAATGGAGGTATTTGTATGTAGTGAAATTACCATCTTTAAAATTACTGCATTTTCTGATGGATCCATAATCTCTACCAGATCACCGCCATATACACCTTGGCAATAATTTAAAGCTGCATGGAATGAAAGCTTTGTCTGGCTTATAAAATAGCGCTTGAGGTTATGATTAAACCAAAAATCATCTATTTATTCAAAAATATTTACAATAAGCATCAGATGTAGATTGCAGTGTACATTCATATTATTCGTCTACGATACATCATTTCATATTTACATTTTCAGAGTAACTGATGAAATATTTAAAATAGATTTATGAATAAATTTCCAGTATATTTAGTACTGGTTAATCGACTAGTTTTATTTATGACAATTATAACGGCTTACATAACACTCTAGAATAGCACATGAGATAGCTGCTGCCTAAAAATTTTATACTACTTCTACGAATTCATCTACTATCCATAACAAAGAATGTTTTATCTTCAAGGTAATACACTTTTTAACTAGATAGCCCTGCTAAATAATTCATTCTATTGCATATATCTATTTTTTATAATTTACTATTTACTGGTAATAATAGCGATGTAAAAATTGCTAAATTCTTATATTTTAATAACTCAATGTTTCCTAAGTTGAAGCTGTAGGTTATAAAAGGTAAATTATAGGATTCTATAAAGCACTTTCATCTACAGCCAGAGTTGTTTGATACATGAAATCATAATTATACAGTATCTAATCTATCGCAGAAAAATATTTGTCATAAACCAGCTTCATAACAAAGATAACATAAAACAAATCTCTAAATTACTTTAGTCTCCGGGATTCAGTATCCCTTAAATATCTCACAAGAATTTAGATGCTGTGACAATATTATTTACTGTATTAGAGTAGAAATATCTATGTTAGGATAATTCTGTTAGCTTATCCTTTATTTAGTTAACTTCTAATTTGGATATATTGTGTTTTAATATAGCACTGACTTTTTATGAAAGTGACACATATACACATACTGAAATTAATAGTTATAATAGGGAATGCAAATCGTCTACTTATATTTCGAATCATTGTGAATTGTAACTTACTCATGATAGATTGTAAATTATCGTGGAAATGTTCCGTGATAAGACATATCGTAATCTGACTATTCTGTATTAGTCATCAGATGTCTATGTTCGTAAATACTGTTGTCTGCATGTAGTGCAGCCCCAAATATAGCTTAGATTACTATTATAAGACTGTACGAGAATAACTTAACTTGTAAGCTAGAGTGTAAGATTGTGTAAGAGTCTATTTGTAGAAGATGGTTACAGTACGTATTGTAGCGAATCTATTAAGATGTTTATATAAAGATCTGAGATATAAATAGATTTGCGCAAAGTATGCTAGTACTGTAAGTATTGTATTGTGATGCTTTAAATAGACGCGCGAATTATGAATAGATTGCGCGATAGTAAATTTAGATCTGATCTTGCGACTTAATGGGCAAGATAAGATTTGTTACAGTAAAAGCATTCTGTAACTAATCGTATATAAATCGTAA